TATGTATATATATATATATGTATCTATATATCTGGGAAGTCGTTTCTTATGTCACGTATCTCGCACAATCGTCGGTACCGCTCCTCGTTTACATACGTGAAGGTATCCTTTATCGTAATAGATGCATTGTATTATACACGTTTGTTCCTCTACCACTGGTTTACTTGTCTTCGGCATGGCTACAATTACGGATAATAGAATATATACATAATATAGTGAAATCTAGATGTCTCTTTTATCCCCCATAATGGGACACTCATGATGAAACAACAACATAAAAACTTCATAGCGCGATAAGCTAGAATGGGGTCGATGTCTTGGTTATCAACAACATACGCAATTACGACACATTGATATACAGTATTATTTTTAAATAGCTATACCAACCTTTTTATTAAGTTATATCTTCCTGATATTACTCTTATTGGCAAATACAACAGTAAATTGAAGTCTTAGACCACTTAGACCACATGCGAAGAAAATACGCCATATTAAAACGATTAAACAAGGCCAAACTCTTTATTTTTGTACTTCCACTCTGTTACGAAACTACTCACGTGGTTGAGGGCGCAGTTTACTTTGTGTGAAAAGCCACTTTTACTAGTTTTTAAACTATACGTCATTTTTTATATATTGCTTGTTTATTCGGGATTTTTTCTTTGATTATAATATATTATATTACTAACGTATTTCGTGTTTTATGAAAATGCATTGTAATATAGTTAATTATCAGCGAACTTATCAATTAGTTAGTACATGTTGTAGATACGCGAACGACGAATCGTTACTGGACTATAAGCAAGATATTAAAGCCTGACAAAGGTAAATTGTCGAAACAATGTAGGCCTATAATGATATTTACAAATACATTTAACAACAAAATTGCAAGGTTATCTGAATTGTCAGTGAAATTGATTATAAATTTTAGGTAAAATAAGGCAGACACAAATACAATTATTCATTGCAAATGGTTTAAAATATATAAAATTACTTATTGTATGAACGTAATGTACAGTATATTGCATTAGGCCTATACAGTATTATTATTACTTTTTATTTTATATTATAGTATAATACATCCTATAAGGGGTGAGCACTTCCAGTTGTAGTATAAATAGGTCTAACTATATTATATAAATGACCGACCGATATCATTAAACGTCTTTGTAGTAGCCTAGCAAACAAACGTCTTTGTAGTAGCCTAGAAAAACGGCTGGATAACGGAATACACATTAAATTCTGTCCATGTGTTCTGGAAGCCATGTTATCAAGGTGTCCTGTGTGGATGTGTAACTGTGTGTATTTAGTACTCAGCAAGACTGTGTGTCAATAAGAAGGCAGAATATTACAACTGGCGACGAGGATGGGATAATATTATAACATACTACAATAATTATGGATCCATTTTCGAACTGCATAAAAGCGTTTGATCCGGACGAAGATCGGAAGTCTACAGGCTCACGTTGGGATAGATGGAAGAAGAAAATGGCAACTTACTTTGTGGCGAAGCAAGTTCGCAATAATGACCAAAAGAAAGCGCAGTTGTTATTATTTCTTGGGGAGAAGTCTTATGAGATTTACGAAACAATGGCTGAAGGCAATGACAACTACGATGATGTCATAAGAAAGCTTGACGAATATTTTAAACCGATCAAAAATACAGCACTGGCAGTATATCTGTTTAGGGAGCTTAAACAAACCAAGGTGAAACGGTAGAGCAGTTTATTACTAGATTGAAGTCAGAGGCCATAAACTGTGAGTTTGAAAATCCAACAGCAGAAATAAAAGCTCAAATCTTACAAAAAAACAAGTAATAAAACATTACGACGTGAGATATTAAAGCATCCTAATTGGACACTTGATGATGTCGTTAGTGAGGCAAGATCTCTTGAAACATCTGAGTTACAAGCAGGTAAAATTGAAGAAAAAGATAACCCCTTTGTGAATCATTCAACCGTGAATAAAATAACGACAACAAGAGGGAGAGGTAAGCAACAACCTATGCATGAAAGTAAATGTAAAAAATGCGGTGGTAAACCTTATCATCCACCAACTCGGTGTCCTGCGAATGGTAGAACCTATGGAACGCCAAAAGGACAAAATACAATTGGCAGCAGCGCAAAACTGAGAGTCACCAGCGCAAAACTGAGAGTCACCAGCGCAAAATTGAGAGTCACCAGTGCAAAACTGAGAGTCACCAGTGCAAAACTGAGAGTCAGCAGCGCAAAACTGAGAGTCAGCAGCGCAAAGCTGAGAGTCA